CTCCTTAAAACTCGCGCTCACTCGTCAATACCTCTTTAAACGCAATATTTTCTTCATAATTTTGAATACTGACTCACATTTCATCGATAGCTCCTGATTTTTTTAAATACTGTCAGCAGGTTATTTATGCAAGATCTCTGGTTTGAAAACCTATTTAATTCACTGTTCGTTCAATTTACTATCGTAATTATACTATTTTTATGAGAAATTTGATAATATCTGAGTTACTATTAGTTTTTGATGCTCGATTTCATTCTCGACAGAAATCTATCCTTATCTGACTTGATAATTTTGTATACTTTCTCCTTTGTAGTCTTTGATGATTATAATGATAATAACAATAAATTTCTTTTTAGACGTAATTAAACGTAATTATTATGTACAAGTTTCTTTGAAGGCCCTGACTCCCAAACTGGACAAAAATGCTCGTATTTGAAAGACAAAGACATTTGTGCAACTGGGTATGAGAGTATCTGAGCACTATGATTATTTTATTTAATAAGTTGTAAATTAAATATGTAAAAAGCTAAAATCCTAACTAAATCAAATCACCCGTTTGATCATTATGAATGTATTCGAAAAGGTCTGCTCATTTCGCGTACTTCTAAAATAACATATTTCGGTCTTATCGATATTTCCATAGCGTACAATCAATTTAGCTTCTGCTGATACCCTCTATGAATCTTAAACTAGGTCTAGCCGAGATTGACACGTATCTTCTTAGTATGGGGTAATGAAGCGACATGTAATGAGGGGGTGAGCTCACAAATACAGAATAAGCCCTATTTGGAGGAACAACAAAGGATTCGTCCTCAGGCGATATTGGTGTTGTGTGCGCTTGTTACAAAAAAATTGTGGCCAACAAAAATACTTATAGGAACTTTTAAATGAGACTATTACTATGACAGGCCGGAATTTATGTTCACGTAAAGTAATTTTTTAAATAAAAATATCTAATGATATGCTGTTACCAAATGGTTTTTAAACTAATATGTATGTATAATATGTATATGGACAATGGCTATAGTTGGGTTATATTGTTTGAACAAAATTTTTTATTTAATGAATTTTCGGGTGTATTTAAGCAAAATAGCAAGCAAAAGTTATTAATATCTACATATCGACGCTGGAAAGCAAACACGTAGTAACCTGTAAAACCAAATTGGATATTTAAAGTGGAAAATCTTTATATTTTTCCAAGAAAAAATATCTTCTTTCTGTACAAATTGACTAAGGAATACCTTATTTGTTACCATGGTCGTTTATAGGAATTATTTATCGAAAAAAATAAAAGTTTTTCTGCTCTAAAGAACAATTTTGGTTTTGCGGGTTACTACATGTTAATATATACGCAATATCGACGCTAATATATATATATATATTAAATGAGGGTAAAATTTTAAATTTCCTAATAAAGCCCTTTCATTTGATATAGAATTACCCTACACAGAATGATTGAATAAGATAATATTTAGTTTCTTACTTTATGCTCTCTAGAGGGCGCTGTTGCTAATTTAATGTAAAGTCACATAACTTGCAGAACGTGGACAACTAAGACGCTTCTGATGAGACCTCGTTTGTCCATTTATGATGAGTAGTTTTGAAGGTTTAAGGAAACAGATGAACATTTTTACATACATAAATTCCTGCTAAAATCATTCATAACCCTTCATTTCGCTACGCCGTAGTCGGGTAATAAGAGACGAAATCCGAGTAACGCCCGTCTCCAAAGATGATAAGAACAAAAGGATGGCATATTACACATCGAAAACTATTAGAACGGTCTTCATAATAGGTTCAAATTTTCGATGAGTATAGGTAAATATTTATTTGTATGTATGTTCAGAGATTTTTCCGCGAATTTTAGACGGATTTTCTAATTTCTCTCGAACAAAACTAGCTTTCAGCGGCTTCGCCGTTATCCCTTAGCAATCGTTTAATACCTATTCAAGTTTAGAATTATCCATATACCTTCCAAATTTTATCGAAATTTATTCTGAAGTTTTTTTCCTCAATAAAAATTATAAATACCTATTAAATACATTCTCAGAAACATTCATATTTATAATATTATATAATAATATTAATAGGAAGCTTTTGATTTATTTAAAGCTGGAAGTGTTCGGCCCATAGGACAAGAAAAAAGAAAGCAGGCCAGTAACATAAATAGACATAGGTACCTAGTAAGTACGTCAACAAAACAAAAAATGGCTTATTTTACTTTCATTTAATTTAGTAGGTAAGTAAATCGCTCGCATTTCCCAGACGCATAAAAAGGTAGATATCATTTTTTTTTTTATTAAACCGTACTTTTACTGCACGACATCGATTGATTTTTATTTTAATGTCGATTCATATGGATTAAAATTTATTATAAAAGTGCTACGTAAAGCTTACGGTTACAAATTTTTTACTCAAAAATTTATAAATTTTCTTTATTAAACATGTAGATTATAACTACGAGAAGAATTAAAAAAATAATGAGAATTTTGCGGTTACTTACTTTTAAAATTAAATTTATACCAGTGGTAAATTTAAGTTTCACGTGTGTTTTCACTATTTGTGTATCAATTTTTCCTCTTTATATTTATGTTACGTACGATGATTTAGTTAGTAGAATTTTATCGTATCCACAGAACAGAAAGTTCTGTTCTATGATCGTATCAATTCTTTCATTTTTAATTAATTAAAATATGACTATTATATTACTAAATTACCGCGCTCTGACGGCAAAACATTAAATTAACGCGTTTAGAAGGTTGCCGAAGTACTGACCTTGTATAGACTTAAAAAAGCACACAAAAATGTGCTTCTAAAAGTATTCTATAAAATGCCATCTATCAAGATTATACGTAACTTAATTGTAATCTATCACTCACTATGTGATAGCACGATATTTTTGACACAGCAAATAATGCTTTGTGTTTATTCACTCTTTAGTTAATACCACGGTAGATGGCGCTGTATAATTGTTGTCAAAAAGAAAATATAGATAGCGCTTGTATTTTTTTTATTGTAGAACAGATTTCGACACGTTTTATTATAATTAAATTATATTGATATTACATTACTACTGTTTCCACATTAGTTTAAAATTGTTGTGTTATTCATATTCGTCTCTCAATTTCACCTTTGCATCTTTTAATATGATATGATATGCTATTTGTTTTGACCCACTTTCATTAAAACATTATCTAACCACCTCCCGCAAATTTATCTAATCGTGGTAGACCTCCCCCGCTCATATTTGCAGATGTCGAATTTTCAGTATTTTCTACTTTGAGAAATATAATAGTTTGTAATAATAATGTTACTTACTTAGAACCTAAATATTAATATTTTTTTGGTAAGTATATTTTTTACAGACGGTAAAAACGAAAAAGAGGTTCTATGCTCGACGACGAAATTTTTTTTACGTACGCTCTGACATAATTTTGTAACCACATGGGTGGTCAGTAATTAAAACAGTTTAAAAGAAAATTAATTATTTTTCAATATCCACATATGAAAATAATAACTTAAATAGCGTTTCCGTAAACAAAAATAAACAAACCAACTTTTTACCTATGTACCTATATACTAATATTGTAAAGATGTAAAGTCTCCAAGTTTGTTTTTAAGGGCGAGGGGGGGGGGGGGGTTATCTTTGCACATTCTGATTCGAGATTTAAAATTCTTTCACCTACGAGAAGCTACACCGTATGTGGGTGACATAGGCTATAATTTCCACGGCCGATGTTGCAGGAACACAGTCAGTAATATATACATTTATACAGCGGTCTAATGAAATCATAAAACATTAATAATTTTCCTTTGATTTAAATTGTTATTAACTTAAATACTAGTCTAAATTACTTTTTCCTGTTCTTTCTGTTGTTACTTTGTATCTTTTACGAGTATGAATATGCGAGAATGTCGAAAATGACCTCTCAACCGAAGCTGACGTAGCAGGTACTGGTAAAATTTTAATTGCAATTTGATCCAATAATATATTTTCGAAAAAAGTCATCCACCACTATTTTGGATCGATTATATTAGCAGCTTGCCAAATAATATTTTTTGCATATACCCTATTTCGAAATTTATATTCTGATAGTTCCTTTATCAATTAACAGATTCATCGTTAGTAGTGGCCAAATTCATAATAGCATTACGCCTTCTAAATAATCTTCCTCTCTAAATTGGAACCATGAGATTTTGGATCAAACAGCTGCAAAATGCAAATTATTCTAAGCATTCTGTTTTCGTTCAAGAAACTTGCCTCGGAGTTATGGTAAATTATCTTCTACTACATCCATTGCGTTTCTGCTATTTAAAAGCTCCGCGATATCTAATAACGCTCCATAAACTAAATGTATCGTTCAGTAATCTCCCTCAAGCTTAGAGATCCAATGCACAATTGGCGTAAATAATCTGATATGATTTTTAATCGTGGCCCATTTTGATTTATTTAAGATATTTTCTTATAGTTATCCAGTTCCCGAATGTCAGTGATCACCATAGTCGGAAGTATAAGCGTTTAAAAAAAATCCAAACAATGTAAATAACTTCCCCATCTATGTAGTTTTAACTGGTAATACTCAGATTTATTCTCAGAGTCTTTTGAATTCTGATTTTAAAATATGTGATTTTGAATTTTTTGTAGAATTGCAAGATTCTGGTGTTCTCTTTTAAAATTTTATCCATATCCTCTTTTTTGTCGACGGAGCATTGTTTACATAATAAATAATGTAAGATGATCGTCTATCCATCTGTACTGGTAAAATATTGTTAAAAGTTGTTCATCTCATTCATAGAAAATATTTATCACACAAAAAGGAACCAATACGGAGTATTTTTCTACATTATAAATATGATTATAACATTTCGAATGCTACATTTTTCGAAAATAATAAATTCGAGTTGCTTTTCTTTATTCCTATAATAGATGTCGAAGCACCCTATATCGGTGCCAAAAAGCAGTAAAATAAGGTTAGATGTAAATAAAAAGATGTTTATTTATATTATATCATGATGGATTTTATTTTTCATATTAATTCAACGAAAGATTACAATTTTCTAAAAAGTAATTTCTCGTACTAAACTTACAGTTATTACATGATATTTTTTCTACTGAACAGTTAGAATTTAACGAAAATAATCATGGCTGAATTGTACCTATTAGCTATCAACTTAATTCACCAAAATATCGGGCTCAATATGAGCTATTAATATTCTCGTCCCACGGTCCTTCACACTATGATATTAACTATAATTGACAAGGTTTTAAAGGCTATTTAAAACAATTCATCATCACTCATAATTATATCTGTAGCATTCTAATATAACTATCACAGTAAGGACCGGGCGAAAATCAGTAAATTAAACTACCATATCATGCAAGTAACGTAACATTCAACAACTAGGTCATTTCATATAATTCTCATTTGACATCGTAGTTGTGTGTATACAGTCAATAATATCGGAAAATATACATTGATTAGAAAGTTGCAATGTGTGGTCACGTTACATTTTAAATTGTACCATAATTCAGTCTCACTCACAACACAAAATGAATGATATAAAAATACTGCATCAAACAATAAGGCGTGTAATATATCTCTATCATAGACACACAGCACATACTCGTGTATATTATAGCTTCACAAAATTATTTGATCGAAGATCGATTTCAAATCAACCATGTCTAGAATAAGTTAATGAACTATAAAATGCCCTAATTTGTCAAAAACTACATTATATCAAGGCATCATCATAACTTTATATAATCATAATTATTGGATTTTCGTCACTATTATGCGCGACCGCATTTTCCTAAGATCATTCATAACTTTTAAATTAATTATACTAAATTCATTGACTATCACTCATGCTTACACAACATTCGAAATTCTGCAACGGAACAACACTCACAAACATCAGTGTTCTAATACTTAATAATACAATTCTAGGCATTTTAATCACAATAAACAATAGTGCTGAATGAAGGAAAATTCAAGTTAGTACATTGGTCATTAGAATTAAATTGGTCGAAACGATATGTTCAAAATTAGAGAGGCTGTTGAGCCGTGCAGATGTTCTAAGTTTAAAGATTTGATATTCAAGTAATGATATGGATTGATACAGTTCAACCTTGGACATGGTTGAAATAATTTCTAATAAATCATCGCAATTGAAGTGTCCTGCTTCAGTGCTGTTTCCTAACAAAACAATGTTGATATTAGGTTAATACACGTATATCTCTTTGAGCTGGGGCTTGAGCTCAGGTGGAATCGTGTAAACCTCCTGTTCAGGCTTCTTCTTCACAAGCCGTTTCCAGCGACCTCCGATGTTCTTGCGAAGACTGCGGAAACTGGCACGCTCATTGCCGATTGGCTGCATTAGATTGTCCTAGAAATAAGAGAAAAGAACTATTAGTTAACTCCCCCAAAAACAAAAGAGAAACTCGGAAAGTTTGTTGACCTAAGAAATAGGGATTGGTGCCCGATTTAGCAGTTCCGTTACTGTCCCCGATGCATTCGCTGCATTCTCACCGGCGCAACCACTTCAAGTTGTTACACAATGCACTCTCGGGCTATTTTAAGACAGTTGCTAAGCGAGTTCTAAAGAAGGTCGACATAAAACATTCGTCGAATAAATTTAATGCGAGGGTTGAGTGCAGTATAAAACATAGAATATTTGAATGTTTGTGTTATTTAGGAAATGTTTACTTTTAAAACGTTACATGTTTTGAAATGTGGGAGAAGCCCCACACGACTAGGAAGCTAATGTTGCGAAGTAACCGTTGAGGCCATACGTGATCGGGGCAAACCTTGAATACGCTATTCAAAGACGCATTAGCATTCTCTGCTTCCTGGTGTGGCGTCTCAAGTGATCAAGTGAACGGTTTATAAGCATCGTACAGAGTGCATTATTTAAACAATGACTGAAGTGAGACGGTGTAAAGGCCTCGGGAGGCGTTTATCGGAGCATGGTATTGAGGTCAGACCAAGCGCTTTACAAGATTGAAATTTTATGCATTATGATAGAGTATTTGCATTAGCCTTTGTTCAAACAATCACAAGCAAAGAAAGAAGGTCGAAGCATTACAACATGCTTGCCTTGTGCAGCTTTCTATTCTGCAAGCGTGTCCCGGCATTTAAATTTATTTCACACTTAGACATCGTCATCGAGTAATGGATAAGCAACTCTCTCTCTTGCGTGGCGGGGACGTGGGTCGAACCAGTCACGATTTCTATCAATAATAAATAATGTTCCCCGACTTTCCAAGCTGATAGGTGCTTATTTACAAGGCGATATTAAATAATCCGTAACTGGCAAATGTAACGTACTATTTTGGAAATAGTATTTAGGTCAAGTATAACGGCTGGAGTTGGTTTTGAATCTCTAAATATCATGTCATATTAAAAATTAAGTATAGCAATATTATAATAATACTAACCTGATCGTGGGGATAGACATAAGGCGGTGGCAGCGGCGGCGGGAATTGCCACAACGGCTGCTGGCGAAAGGCTAGGGGCTCCGAGGGTGGTGCAGCTGGGGCCTGCAAGACTTCAGCAGGATGCACCGATGCTGAATGTTCTTCTCGCTTGCGCAGCTTGCTGTGGACGATACGAATCGCCATCATAGTTCCATTGTTTCCAACCATTGTACTGATTGGTTCGTCAATGCAAGAATAACTGAACACACTGGGCTGGATCACAGGTAATAAGTTCCAGTCGGGCAGTCACAACATACTAATTTTAACAGTTCTCACTCACAGCCGTATCACGGTCTCAACGACGCGCGTAACTAATAACTAGATTTAAATTATAAATTATCACAATTATTTTATAGTAAGGCTATTGCACTATCACTGTTCATAGGAACGCGCGGCAGACCGCGTTACGCGAGCTTCAGCTGCGTGGTGACTAGACTTTTCGTTAATATTGGCCGGCAGGTGCCTAGCAAAGCGCTCGCTCGTGCCAAACGACCTCTACGGAGTACTCCATGCGTCTGAGTTGAAGTGGAGGGGCGCGCAATGCTTTTATAGAGGCGCGTGTGACGCGGCGTCAGGGCGGAGGAGGGGGCGGGGAAGTTTGATTTCACGATGTGGCCGTTTTCCGCGAAAAACTACATGGTGATGGCGCCTGCCATCGGCATCATATCGTATATTGTGACGCACCAAAAGAAGGCCCGTCTATACATTTGGATTGGCCCAGTTACCTGGGCTATAAAAAATCAATTAGATATTTTGTGATTAGAATTCTAATGGCTGTGCGTGAAAACCGATAGGAAAACTTTAACAGAACCTTTTCCTTGCATTGACGTTTTAGTATCTTATATCATTTAAATAATAGTCATTAGTCAAGTAAAAGCCTTAAGATATAAAAAAATATTGAAGAAGTAGCTAGTGCACTTGTGCTTAAATAATCAGAAAAAATAACGCCCAGACCAAGCCGCAAGAAAAAATATCTTCACGATGGTAATCAAATTGTAATGGCAAATTCGATAAACTAGCTCAATGACATATAAATAACGTTATAGATGATTTACCCTAACAAATATTTAGATTACTATCTTAGAATCTCACCAACATTTCGCACACAAATGATTCTTAATGTTTTTGTATTACTCTAAGTATTCATATAAGAACTCAGAAACTATTTCTTACGAGAACTGATATCCTACTCGGCAATTCACGAGCAACAAGTGGTAATAACAAATCAATAACTTTGCGCCTAACAGAATATGGGCACATTTTAATAGAGCAATGTTGGAATTTGTGCATCTAAAAACTTCGATTCATTATGATACTTTCTACTCATTTTTCTTCAACCATAAATTTAAGGGAGACAGATATCGTTCGTTAAACATTCACTATAAATCGAGTTCAAAGTCCACATTATAAATACATGCACACGGGTCTATACAAAAGCTTTACGCACAGCTGGGCTTGATGGGCGGAACAGAGGCTGACGTTGCATCTCTTTCCTTTGAACACTTGCTCACATACATAAAGGAGGGACCTCAACATTCTATTATTTCGTGTTTTTTTATACCAAAGTAGGCTACAGGGCAAGGGAGAGTCGGTGCAATGCCCTTAGTCGCTTCTAACATAAGCAAAGCTTTGGGACTTTGACTCAACATGGAGAAAAAACACAGGTAGTCGACCATATACCCTTGAGAAGCGTCTAGAACACAGCGCTATTGTAAAATAAAACCTGGTTGGAGACTACACGTTAAAAGTTAATACGAAATTCTGTTCCATTTATCATCATTTCAAGCAGTTGGTAACATATTTTGAAATGTTACTCGAATTATCTCATTTAGTACATACAATGTTTTGTGTTGAAAATGTTATAACAATGTACGGTACATCTATGTTTTCAATATAAACATTTAATGTTTAAAATACGTGCTTTAATAATGTTTCACCAAACAATCAAGGGCACGTTGTGATGTTATAAAAACTCCATTTCAACTGTAGCTGTCTTATCTAGACGTAACAAAATAAAATGTCGAGCAAACTTATTATCTTCCTTCCGGAGAGCTCTTATACATATTAGATATAACTATTATGATATCGCAGTGTTGATCATGTGTAATTTTATCTTAGATTTGCTTAAGCAACAATTTCCTCAAATTTAACACATTTCTATGCCTAAATATTCAGTGTTCTTTATTTTATATTTAAAAATATAACAGTTAATATTTCTGCCACGAAAATTTTGGTAGCGATTGTGCCTTGTATATTATTGTCTGGCTGGTAGGTACCATTAGTAATGGTACGGATATGATCATTGTGAACTTGTCATTCTAAATATTTACTTCACATAAATATTTAAAATACACGGATCCAAAGTTTCAGTTAATTTATATATTAAATCCTTCGGCATTGATCCATTGCATTTTTGAGTTTATTGCCATTCGAGTTTGTTGCGGTTGTTTTCATAGACAGACGCGGAGAGACTTTCTTTAAGATATGGTAAGGATTTTGGTGCTACTATATATGGACGGACAAAAATTATCAATTTATTTATAGTTAAGTAGCTATTTCACACTAGTGTCATACCGAGTCCCGCGGTCTCGTATTATTCGTAGTGATTGACATTTTAAATGTATTAAATCAAAAAACACGTTAAGACAAAATATTAATTACATAAAACTTTGATAATGAAGATTATTGCATAACGAGAGACATTTCTACATCTCCTTAAGCCCTCCACAAATAATTGAACAACTTCTATATTATAACACTATTATTAAAAAATCACTTGTTAATTATAAGTGACGTAAGCTTATTTATCACACTTTCATTTTAGAACACGCTAAGTATTATTGACAGCTAATTGATTTTTGATTCTCGGAAAAAGAAAGTTGAATGAAGGCGTGGGTAATATTGTTAAAAATAAATAGAAACCATTAGCTTATTAATACCACGAATTATGTGGAATAAATGTAAACTATTGTGAATTTAAAGTCTATTAGTACATCATTAATAACTTGATAAAATAATACTATTGCATAGTCACTAATTTCAAAACAGCAATTTGATAATTGATTCAGAAAAAATTCTCTAATACAAATCGTTTTTTAAATTAAGCCGCGGACCAATGGACATGAAGAAACTATAAGGTCTCTAGTTGACCACAGAACCTTAAAAACCGCATTTTTTTATTGTATTAAAATCGGAAACAATAAAGATAAAAGTTTAAAAACAATGGTTGTTATTGTAACGATTTAATGCCATATACGAAATTCTTCTCCCTTTTTTATAATTTGATGTGTTTTTTTTGGACAATCTTGTCCAGAAAAAAAAGTAGTAAGATCTTAAGTAAGATTGATCCCAATTTTGAAATACATGATTTTTGCATAGCTTTTACCGTTTCCGCAGCGCACGCAAGGAAATCTGTTAAAAAATATTTATACTCCCGTTTTCGCGACATTTTATTATTGTTGCTCCACTTCTATTATTAGTCATAACGTGATATATCTTTCCTCGATGAATAGACAAATCAACACAAAAAAATCATTAAATTCATACCAGTAGTTCCTGAGATTAAAACAAAGAAATATAAATTATATTTTCAATATGATCTAAATTTTGAATATCATGCCTACTTTTGCTTTTAGCAAGGAAACCAGTAGTTAGGTTTATTTTCAATGCTAAAAATTAACTATAAATAGATAGATTATTTTTGCATGTCATTCCTAGTAGGTATTGCTATAACATGATAGTAGGTAGTAATATAACATTCTATATAATTTGACGTAAACCGTGACCCTAACATTCAATGATGCCACTATTGATTCAGTCTGGTTCATTATGATAAGCCGTTATTAAACATACGAAATTCAATGAATTGTTTTTACGTCATATTAGCTTTATTTTTTAAAAAGAAAATTCTAATAATTTTAATAACAATTCCGGTATTAAGTTAGACGATTTTTACAACCTGTTTTAACTCTTATTATATGTATGCATTCTATAATTACATTGTTAATATTCTTATTTTTATATTTTAAATTTCATCATAGTAATGTGTTTGAAAATACATATAATCAAAATAAAGGAGTTTATTAGATACCGATAAATTTTTATCTATTTTATTGCAAAACAAGCAACATGTTTGTTGAAAATCATAAAAACAAAAACAAGCAGGGGAAATAGTAATATAAAGAAATACATAATCCCAAGATATTTATCTCATTAATTCTTTGATAACTTCTTTTCAAGATTTAAAAGCAGAATTTACTGATTACACTTATCTTTGTTTTTATTTTTCAGTATTAATTTACGTCCAATATAATTAATTCAAAACAATTCGAATAAAACGACACATATAAAGTCAACATAGTGATATCTCCGAGAACTTTTTTACTTCCTACTTTTATTTCGTTTTAAGTTTTTCAAAATTAAAATCTGATGTAAATTCCGATATTTGACTAATTTTGGTAACTTAATGTGAACTTTCTTTACTAGTATCATATTTGTAAACTTATTTATATTGTGTAGTTTTGCAAAATATTATGAAATAGAGGACAGCTATACTATTAAAAAAAAAAAAAGTCTAGAATAGAAATGAAGACAGCGTAAAAAAAACTATTTAATCCTTCCTTCAGATAATATGAAAATATTAGATACTTATTTTTCTTGACTTCAATTTAACAAGAAATAATTTAGATACAAGCATTAAAGTTAAGGAATGGGGCTCGCTACGTCACAGTTTTGTAGAAAATATACGAAAGCGTGACGTCATGTGACATTTTAACTCAATGTATCGCCGTAATTTAATGATTACGAAAAAAAAAATGTTTAATATTTTTCAATAATCTACCTGATGGACATACAAATAAAAATTAGTCGCCATCCAAATTCGACGTAGCGCTCCGTTGAAATAAAAACTTTATTACCCATTTCAAAATATTCTATCTGATTGAATATCAATCCTTTATCCTTTATGTTAGCGCTGAGCTTGACATCCGAGTCCGAGGCTGTTTTTAATAGAAAAGCACTTCTAATTGCGATTATTCCAGGTTCTTATATTATATGCCTCATTAACTACTCTAATGCGTTCTACTGTGTCCGGTGGGAATGTCTGTAGAAGATTCTTGGGCA